TGTGTTAAAACAACACACAATTCACTAATTTGGTGTGTTATGTGTTTAAATACCACAGCTGCGGTTGTAGATATGTTGAAATGACACACAAAGTGCATTGATCTATACACGAGTTCTGTGTTACAAAGGATAATACACTTCATGTGTGTTAAAACTGCAACACGGTAAATTGAATGCATATAAAGTGTGTAAAAATAATGCAGGAATCGCAGAATAACACATTTAGAAAAAACAACCTATTACTAGAGTTACACACTTACAGGAATTACACATGAAACCTCGCAGTACTCAAAACGAATAAATAAAAAAATATGTGGATAATATTAATTATGTGATGTAATTATGCAGTTGTCACTGACAAATATTTTTACATTTAGTCTGCAGAAAGCATTGGCTATTATACAGGTGATAAAATGGTAGAATTTATTATTTATTGTTATATTATAATTATTATTATATTATTTTACTATTATATTATTATTATATTATTATTATATTATTATTATATTATTATTATATTATTATTATATTATTATTATATTATTATTATATTATTATTATATTATTATTATATTATTATTATATTATTATTATATTATTATTATATTATTATTATATTATTATTATATTATTATTATATTATTATTATATTATTATTATATTATTATTATATTATTATTATATTATTATTATATTATTATTATATTATTATTATATTATTATTATATTATTATTATATTATTATTATATTATTATTATATTATTATTATATTATTATTATATTATTATTATATTATTATTATATTATTATTATATTATTATTATATTATTATTATATTATTATTATATTATTATTATATTATTATTATATTATTATTATATTATTATTATATTATTATTATATTATTATTATATTATTATTATATTATTATTATATTATTATTATATTATTATTATATTATTATTATATTATTATTATATTATTATTATATTATTATTATATTATTATTATATTATTATTATATTATTATTATATTATTATTATATTATTATTATATTATTATTATATTATTATTATATTATTATTATATTATTATTATATTATTATTATATTATTATTATATTATTATTATATTATTATTATATTATTATTATATTATTATTATTATATTATTTATTATTTATTATATTTTTATCTAAGCAGTTTATGTAACGTCTACGACGTTATATGGGAAAGAAAGTATTGTGAGCATGAAACGTCAGATAGCCTCAGTGGTTTAGTGCAGCGTTCGACAAGCGAAAGACGCGAGATTCGAGTCCCAGCATAGCTAGCAGCAGACCGCGCTTTGGATATTTTTTGCTCTCTCCGGATCGAAAAGAAGACAGATCCGACCGCCACGGCGTTTCCCATCACTACCTTTAATACGTCTTAATACAATACATACATAAGTCGTACACATATATGCATTCAGCTAGCACAACACGAATCATACGTGTCTATAGAACACATTTTTGGTGTGTTATACCTACACGTTTCTTGCAAATCTACACACTTTCTTGTGTGTTGCATATTTACACACCTGCAAGCGTGTCAAAAACGACTACACGGATTACACACGTAAAATGTATTAATGTAACACATTTGTTTTTACAGTGTAGAGATCTTTTATTGTTAATATCTCAAAATTTTACGTGGTTATTTAAAAAAAAAACACCGATTATATTATTCACCCCGACTTATTCTAGCTATATGTTAGCTCTGGTACGGTACGAGTCAGACACCCTGTAGATATATATTTTATATGTGACTTTTTTATTCCGTACTACTGGGCACCTAAACACGATACCGGAACAAGATGGCCACGTTGCTGCAGGTTCGTATTTTGGTTATAAAAAAAATATACAGTTGACAAAATCGTGGCGGGTAATACATAGAGTTTTACATAAAATTAATACATAGAAGAATTGCCTCTATTATATTTATGCAGTTAGTGACAACAATTAGTTGCCTGAGAAATTGTAACTTTGAAATTCTAAAATATAAAGCATCTACCCCGGTCTTCTCTAATGGCGACATTCGCTATCGTGTACTTGTATATCAGATCAAACTGAACAAGAACTAATTTTTAGTTGTTAAGTAAAAGTTTGATCTATTATAATGATCCATAATAATCGCGCATAATCACATCAATCTCCTTTAATTAAAAACTAAAAATCTACGTAGTTATTTGCAAACTAGTAGAACATTTTTTGTTCAATTTAATGTAATGTATAGATACATAACGGCAGATGTTGCCATCATAGTTGCCGACACAGTTGCTCATCTACCGTATTGCGCATGATCACATCTTCACAAATTTTCTTTAATTAATAGCTCTTCTTTAATTAATTAATATTTTACATGATTGTTTGCGAAATGGTAAAGGAATTTTGTGCTTATTTTGATGAGTTCTATTTGCATATAATGGATGTTATGAATTGTGAGATATCCTGTATATTAGGGCCACATGGTATTCGCCGTGATCATATTGGATCGCATCATTGACATGTAATCTTTTTTTCAACTTATCTTTTCTCATAATTTTGTCACATTAATTTTACGGCTATTTATTAACTGTCAAAGGAAAAGTACAGTTTCCTCGGAGTATTTTACAAATATTCTCAAGTGATCTGCAGTATTCTTTCATTCCAATTTTTTTTTATATGAAAAGGATACGCAAAATTTCAACGTGTCATCTCTCGTCTCTGACATCACGGTCCAACATGGTCCAACATGGTCGTGGTTAATAAATTAAATACATGTTATTAATTATCAACTATTATAAGTTAAATATATCACATATTCAAATAATGCAATTTTTTCAATACAGTATTTAGTGGAACCTGTTTTTTTCCACTACCCTTATAGAAATGTAATACTGATAAGTAATAATTTGGCCAGTGATAATTACTGCCGTTCAATAATTTTATTAAATTTACTCGTACGAGTAATAAAATTACTATTTATTACTGTCCAATTTATCACATCCAGTGATACTTTTCTATAAGAGTAGAAGATATGCTTCTCATATGTTAGTAGTTATACTAGGCGGGTTCTAACTCAGGTCCTCTGAGGGGGGGTGC